TGGAATCACGTGGGTACCACAATAGCACAGTATCACAGTATGCTAGAGATTGGAAGGGACCTCAAAAGATCATCTAGTCCAATCCCCCTGCCGGAGCAGGAACACCTAGATAATGTTACACAGGAATGTGTCCAGGTGGGTTTTGAATGTCTCCAGGGAAGGAGACTCCACAACCTCCCTGGGCAGCCTGTTCCAGTGTTCTGTCACCCTCACTGAGAAGAAGTTTCTTCTCAAGTTTAAGTGGAACCTCTTGTGTTCCAGTTTGCACCCATTACCCCTTGTCCTATCATTGTTTGCCACTGAGTTGTGGCAATCTCTTTCATTGCAAAATGACCAAGGGGGACCAGATAGTGCTGAGACTGAAGAGGTGCTTCTGAGTTGTTCCACTTCTCTTTCTGGCACACAAACTCCGGGAACAAAGGCTAATGTAGTCTGTTCGTCCTGTTATTCTAAACTGTAGTGCAACTCCTTTCTAAATGCTGAGAACTGGTGTGTGTCAGGTACAAGCACAGATAGGTGCTTCTCAATAAAAACGTGCAGAAGAAAGAAGTTAACAAAATTGTCTGAAGCTCTACAGTGAACCAAGGCTAATGACTTGAACTCAGATCTCCTTACAACTAGTCTTTTGATTTATGTGTGTGATTATCCTGAGACTACAAACTGCCAGCACTCACTGTAGCCAAGGCCAAACTGTAAGAAAAATGTGTCTTATTAAAAAAATAAAAAAAGGCAAAACAAAAGTGTACATTTCCCTGTATACATGCTTCTTTGTGTGTGGTATATAACACAGTCTTCCAGACAAATTCCTTGGATCTAATCCTGTTCTCATTAAACCCCCACAGCTCTATGCTTACACTAACGTAACTGAGGAAAGAATTCATTCCTATAAGAATTATATTTCTAATACAAGGAAACAGAGGCTTTTGGCAAATAACCTATTTTGCAGCTCTTACTGAACAACACTAAAACAAAAAGCATAAAGCAAAGTTGAATCATAAGAGTAACAGAAGAGGGACTGCACCACAACAGAGTAAACAGGAGAGTCATGTACAGGTCATATATACTTCTGTTGTGGAGATGATAACTAACCCGTGTAGGTAGATTTCTGTTTTCATGTAAGGCATTAATTGTCCTTTCCACTAACAAAACTTAAATGGTGCTCTGCCTCAGTGGTTGTTCATCTGGTACAAGTGTAGAATCCAGCAGGGAAGAAGACTCTGAAAATGCCCTGCATAAGAAGAGATTTATTCAAAAATTTTGGAAGCATCAACAGAACACTAGGACGGTAGCAATTGCGAATAAGAAAGCTAATAGTTTAGTGAAGAAATTGGGTAAATGCTATGTATTTTCTCTCTTTGATCTTTGGAGTGTGTGTGTTTATGTGTGAAATGGAAAGAAAAGAAATGACTGGAAGATGTGCCTTCCAGGCCATTTTTCTTTTGTTAGTTGTTTTCAGGCTGCTACTAATTCTGACTGGAGAGAAGTAGATCCATGAGATGATCCCTTTTCTATTGCTTGAATGTGAATGCAGCACAGCATACCTGCCTCTGAAGCACTGCTGGTTACAGCTGCTCTGGGAAGCACCAGTTTTCATGCACAGATTGGCAGGGACCGTGCCATGGATGAGGGGTGCCTTGCCAAATGCATGGCTTTGTGGAGTTAATCATAATATAGTGATCTGTGGCACAGTAAATGTAATTTTGCTATCTTTAAAATTTCTAACTAGGTAAACTGTAGTTCATTACCTTACTGAATACTGAAGACATTTAATCTTGTAGGAGGTGGCAAGCATAGTGAAATTGAAGGTTTTTAAATTTAAGTAGATGCTGAGGGGAAACCTTCACTTGTTCTCCTAACTAGTCAGCATTGACTGAAAAAGAATAAAAACTTTACATCACTCATCAAATACATCTAATGGATGTATTTCTAAATCATTTGTGGTTTTTTTCCCACTTTGTTTTAGATCCAGGTCTTAGAAAAAAGTGTGAAAAGAAATTACACCCTTTTAATTAAAAGGTGTGTGTAGTCTTTTTTTTCTATAAGCATTCATCAGATTTTTACCATTTCACTGATTTTGAGAATTGTGTAAAATGGTTGTTTTCTTTGACCTCACTTCTTGAAATGCCTACAGGTTTTCTTGGCAGAAATATTTTCTCCTTCTGTTAACCAAAATGTGTTGGGCTGTGAAAATCACTGAAAGCTGCAGAAATTAACAAAAACAAAGTCTTCTGTTTTCTACATATATTAAAAAAAAGAAAAAAGAAGAAAAATCTGTGTTGGAGTTGACCGTATCTTGGTTTTGCTCTCCTTTTTGGTCATTATGTAGTAATACATATGAGAAAATGCATGTGAGCCTCTTATAATTATGTTCTAATTCAAGTAACTTTTCTCTTTGCTTCAAGTTATCATCATTATGAATGAAAAAATGAAACCACAGCTCTTCTATAGGTGCACAGATTTTGGTTTATGTTGAGGGTAGTTGGTGAGCAGTCAGCTGTATTCCTTGAAGAGTGCTTGCTCAGTTTCTTACATTTGTGACATGTCTTTTAGGTGTTAGAATTATAACATTTTTAATATACTAATGGTTACAGACTGAGTTTTGAGGTGATCTGTTTCACACTTAGTCATGCTGTTATTCTTTCACTTCAAATAAAAAGTTATTGATAGTCAGTTTCTTCAGGTAAATTTTTAAGACAAAAACTATTTCTAGTTATCAGCTCTGCCTGCTTTGCCAAGGAATTTAACATAGTCTATGACATTAATGTCAGCAAGAATAGCATTAAGGAGCAGGGTTTAATTTACTTAGCTGTAACAGAAGTCAGAAATAGCTTTAGCAGTTAAATTACTTGTGGCAGAATTGTTTGTTTATGTCCCTAATATTCCTGTGTGTATTTTTGAATGATAGATCATTTAACATGACTTGCACATCTGAAAGATTAACATTTTACCAATATTCAGTTACCTTATTTAATATTCTTGTTAGTGTAAGAGGCAGTTTAATGGAAGAACGAATGCTAATAAAATGCCTTTTTAGTAATTCATTTTGAAAACCATTTGACCTTAACTACAGCGAAAGTAGACTGTAAAAATCATCATAGATTCCCTTCCTTGAACTTTTCATAATGCTGAAAAATGAGTGAGAGAAAGAAGCAAGATCCAGTTACTGTACCCTGTTTGCACAGCTGTACTTCATTGAGTGGAGGCTTGTGTTACACACAGTTTGTGATAGGAAGTAAATGCTTTTAAAACAACTAAGGAGACAGGTCTTTAACCTCCACCTTTTCAGATGCTTTGTTCACTCATTTAGCTTCTGTTGAGGTCTTGGGAATCATTTCAGATACAAATTATTACTGAGTACTGAAGCTCACCTGAATAATTCATCTCCTATTGAGCTTATTAGGCAGAGATGCATTAAGATGAGGTCAGAGGGGTTTTGAGAGAGATCACTAATTCTTGATATAGTGAATACTTGTTCCTTCAGGAACAAATGCATTTAAAGAAGGAAGAATACTTAGATTTAGTATGAAGTGTTTTATAATAGTTGAAATTACAATTTTATTTCAGCAATTGTAAGGATTTTCAAGGACTTAAACACATTTAAAAATGATATCATGTAAATTACCAAACTGCCAAAATTAATTGGATTTAAAATTCTCAATTTCTAGCATAAAACTTTTACCTCCTGTTGCAAGACTATCTAGTCCCCTGAGATAATGAAAACACCTTGAGATTCATTAAGAGGAGTTTTTGGCATTACTTTACACTTGCAAATACATTTTTATCACCAGGCCTAAACTATGGGATGTAAGCTTGGCACCATATAATTTCAGGACTTTAAATACACATTATAAGATCATTCTGTGAATGCAATTCTAATATCTGCCAAAGGCACTTTCCTAATTACTCTAGTGAAACAAGTCAGTGGCAAATGGAGCGTGCAGCTGGCAGACGGCCAGTTAAATTTTAATTTCTGTAATCAGCTGAGTCTTTGTGTACGCTTCATCCCTGGAAACACGTGACCTTAAATTTAGGTTTATGCTAAATAGGCATTATTTGGGCTTCATTAACTACCCACTTTTTCATTTTGCTGTAATTAAGGTCATTCTTGTAGCTATACATTTGATGAACCTAAACATTTCTATCTTAACCTCCCACTTAAAGCTGTCCAGATACCAATATACAGTGCAGAGAGCCCACTCCAGTCTGTGCTTAATAAAAAAAATACCTGGAAGTGCCGTCAGGATTTTGAAGTATTCTTCACTGCAGCACATTAGAGGTGGTGTGCCTTCAGAGGACATGGCTGACACTGGTTTTGCCCTTACTCCAGCAACTTTTTTTGAACTGTAACATAATAGAGCCACTGCTCTCTGTTGTCTGGGTCCAGAGTTCCCAGCAAGCAGCCATTTGTTTTTCCATTTGTCACTAGCGGGCAGGCAATGGCTGTGTTTTGTGGTCTGTGGTATCAGTGGGCTTGAAGATTTATGCCTTCCAGAAAACTGTAAGCGTAACAGCAGACACCAGTTAAGTTGTTTAAATTTGAAGTGTAAGATTTTTGGAACATTTTGTCTCCCCTTCTGGTCTTGAAATAGATAACTTTAGTAAATAAATGCAGGCGTGAAAGCATCCTCAGTCTTTGTCCATCTGAACCCCGGAACAGAGCTCCTACTAACTCTTGTTATCAGGACCAAGCTCAGGTTTTCTGGCTGTTTAACTCCCATCACAAGCATCCTTCTACTCTTCCAGCAATGATATGAGTTCTTGCCACAGCCTTACCTTCCTCAGCATGAAATCTACACTGACTTCTGTCAACTTACTGACATTTAACACAGCCTACCCAAACTCACCTCTGAGCATTAGGTTTTATTACCTGCTATATAAGGTAAAATAGCAAAGTGTAAGCTGGGGGATTAGTTGATTCTAGCTTATGAAAAAAGGCCTTGGCAAACAAATGTTGCTTTGTTCTCTAGTACATACCTCATTAGAAATTATGTGTTTTGCAGAGGTTAATATACTGTGGGCCTCACACCAAGTACATCACAGTTCTGAAGATTACAACTTATTCACAGCCTTGTGACAATTTGTCCTACAAAGGTACACCTCCTGGGTAAGTTGCACAAGATTTGACAAATTAATATCAGCAAGATGTAGTAAAAGTGAAACAATAGTGTTTATTTTCCTTTAAAGGAAAACATTTTTTTTTTAAGATATTTGACCCTGGAAACATAAAAGTTGAACCTGAGAAATGTGTGAATCATAAGCTTTAAAAATACATTCATTAATGTTTTCACAGCAAACTTGAAAAAAAACGCAGTAGTTAAGTTTAAGAAGGCTAATTATAGCTCTGCATTTATATTTTCATAACTTTTTTAGTAAAATTGGGCCATTTTTTTTCATTCAGTTATTCATGCATAAATACAGCAAAAAGATCAGAGTATAAATACTGTAGAATATGTCTGTGTAACTGAAAGGAGCAGGGAGAGAAATTGTTGCTAGAGATTGCCTTGAACATGCAGATGTATTTGTCTCTGCCCATTCATGTCATGTGTCAATACCCCAGTAAGGGCAGTATGCCACTATTCTTACCTAGTGTTACTTCAGATATGATCTGTTTTAAATGTTGAGCTGTGTATACATGTAATATAAATTAAGGTGAGTACTCATTTACAGATTTAAAACCTTATATTTCCAAATATATTCATAAATGTAACATACTATTCAGTGTTCAGTTTTGGGCTCAGGGTAATTAGATTCTGCCGATTTTTCTCATTTCAATTTTACGTTCTCGTTTGACTCAGATATTTTTAACTCAGATTGTAGTTTGTTTGATTGTTGTTCTATTTTTTTAATAATTTTAAAATTTTGAATTTTCAGAATTAGAGGTCAAGCAAAGCAATATTCAATGTATTTTTGTATATAAAATATATAAATGCTCCTGTCCAATGATGTATAATACTAGTGGTGGAGGAAACCCACAGTCCTCTGGGAATCTCAACAGCTAGCCTATGAGCAAATGAGTCAAAGCCAAGTGTGTGTACTCACACATGCAAATCCAGTGCACTTCCATTAACTTCAATAAAATTAGTCTGTATTTATGCTCCCATGTCTGAACATGGACTTAATCTGTTGTTTGTAAGTGGTTTAAGCACATAACATTAAATGAGTTAAAGTGCTAGGTTAAAATAAAAAATTGCTGCTGCAAACTGTGAAACAGATACTATTCCTTAGATTTGTTTCTTAAAGTCTTCTACGTAAATTCTTAGGTTTTGTTCATCCAGAAAAGAATCATCTGATGTTAGCAGGAGTGCCTCAGATTTAAATGACCACAGTGAACAATAGTGGAAGGGATGCATCTCTGTTACAATACTGCTTCCTATGTAAATATGCCATGTTGAAGATTTAACCTTTGCACATTTGCCCATTGGGACCATATGTGCAAATGCTTAACAAAAACAATAATTCAAAACAGACAAAAAGCATGTATGTACATATGGGTGTGTGCATGAGCACTTTGTCTGACTGCCTGATTTTGAGGATGGTCCCTCAGAGAGCATAAGATATTCAGGAAAGCCAAGACGTCTGTTTGCCTTAGATTCTAAAGACCACCCTCAGGACCATGCTGGTATCACTTGGCAAATAATATAGGTACATTTAAAACTCATTTGCTATGAGTAAAGGGAAATAAACCTAGGAATCCATAATACTTTTGTGTGCAGTGTTTTTTCACCAAATATCTGGTATTAGCCAAAATGTTTAGTTAGTATAAATATTGGTTTACCTCCCCCCAGAATGTGAGAGTTATACCAGTTTTCTTTCTCCAAAACCTTACTGTACATGAAAACAACTCCTGCTATAATTCTTATAGCACTGCTATTTTTCTAGACTTCCAGACTTGTGCAGAACCCCCTCACTGCTGAAACTCAGTGAAGCCTTTAGCTAATCTTCCTTTGTTGTTGCTGAATGTGTACTGTTGAATGCAGTTCGTCATCCAGTTTTGTGGAGGCTGTGAGAAAGTTGTGGTGGATGGTGTGGGATTGTGGGACTGTTCTACTGCCAGCTGTGTATGTGTTTTAAGTTAAACATTATAAGATAAATAAATCAGCATATTAATCTGTGTGGGTTGTGCTCAAGCTGATTGAAAAGATGTGAAATGAAAGAAAAGAGAAAAACATGCTTTAAGTACAATCAGTGATAGAGATACACTCCTGAGCTTGGAACCAAATGTGTATTGCTTCATGTCATTTGCACACACAGTATTTCTGTTACTCCAGTGAACGCGCCATAGAGACGCAGACCTGTTAAGACTGAATGTGGTTTTGAAGCCCATTTTGTGGGGGAAAAAAAATGTGGAAATAAAAATGTAAATTCATTTTCAAGAAGAAATCAGCAAGCTAATACTATATAAATTTTTGCTTCTGATAAAATACTTAGTTTAATTGTGAAAAGAAAGAATTGCATATACACCTCAAAAAGCTATAATTTAATTCTTTGAGTACCAATTCTCAACTTTCCTCTGAGGCTAAGGTTTAATTGCAAATATTAAATCCATAATAATTTGATAGCTTTAGGCTATACATTTCAATAAACGGTTGAATTATACCTTGTTGGTTTAAAAACAGTGGAAAAATCTATATATAAATCTGGAAAGGGAAGAGGTAACACCATTCTTTTCAGCACAGAGTCACAAAGTTAATTTCTTATCTACTGAGGAGTCTGCCAGATCTGGGATTTGTAAGGGATAGGGTTTTTTTTTCTACCCTTTAACTCCTGCAAAATCCTTACACAAGTATAACCCACATGAATTAGCTGTGGGCAGCTGCCCCTTGCCCCTCTGTGTCCTGTCTGATGAGTACTGGACACATCAGCAGGTGTCTCCAGCATGGAGTTGGAGGGGCTTAGTGCAGGAAACTCAGCCCACCTGCTAAACCTCAGGAGTTTCTAGTGTTCCCCTATCTATTGTGGAAGCATTTATTAGCTTTTACTTGCAAATGGGAGGGAGAAAGGTGGAGCATGCCCATGTCAGAGAGTGTGCAGCAGACATGCACCCTTCAAAAGGGGCAGTGCCTTAAGTGTGAAGCTACACATCTGCAGTGCAGCAGCCCCAGCTACAAATCCGTCTCCACTCCCTTGCTGCGTGCCTTTCCCATCAGGTTATCAGTTATTGCAGCGCTCTCTCAATCTGTCCCTGAATCCACAAGTGGGAAAAGATCTGCGAGTGTGATAAACAGTTTTCTGCAGTTTTGACCATAGATAACATCTTGGAAGCATAAAAGCTTTTCCTCTACAGATTAGTGAAAGCTGGTACATTCCCATGAAATGTTTTGATATGGGGAATTGGCATTTCCAGTGAAAAACTATTTAATGATTTTATTGGGTTTTTTTCTGACATTGATCTTGTTGTTTCAGTGGAACCACCAATAGGAGAAACTAAATCTTTGTTTGGGAGAGGTTTTTATTCATCCCTGTGGGTTCTACTTCTGTAAATGATCTTTGAAATCCTTAATCTGTGCAAAATAAAGCTTGCATTGCAAGGAAACTTGAGGCAGTTAGGAAATAATTCTCCTTCGTCAATCTCAAATTTACCTGTGGATTTATATGAAAATTCTCTCCTCTCACCACTTAACAGAGAAATCCTCGTACTCATTGTGAGAAGTAGGTTAGAAAATAAATATGAAGATGATCCTTTCTTCTCCTCTGAGTCATCTGCAAATACCACCAAATTGTCTCTGGTAGTTCTAGGGAAAAATCATAAAATTTTTAACCCTGCTTTCAGTCCTGCAACCATTTCCATGAATAATCTGAAAACCATCTGTTTGGTTTTAGTTTCTGGTTTGTTCTTGGGTTTTGGTTTTGTTTTTTTTTGTGGGGTTGGTTTTTTTTTTTTTTGGAAGGGGGGGTTGGTTGTTTGTTTTTAAAATCAACTTCCTTTCCATTTCCTTTAAAAAATTTCCTGCTTTTATCATGCCATTAGACAGGTACAATCAATAATAAGAGAAAACTAAAATAGCTTTACTTAAACATGGCCATGTGTCCTACTCCTTCGCTGGCTTCTTTGTGAGATAACCTTTGAGAAAAACCATGACAGCCTTCTGGCTGTTGTGAGACAAATATCTCTCAGGTTAGAGGAATGAGGAAAAAGGAACTCGGAAAAGACTGACTCAATGACAGTGTTTAGGCTATGTCTCCTAAACTATGGGAGGTTTGCACTACATTTTTGTTTCAGAGCATGGTTTGTGGGGTTTCATTCAGTAGTTGTCTGCACAAGGCGGTATGATCTGTGTTTTTAATTTTTAAAGAAATCTCATGCACATCTACTCCAGAATTTCATGTTTAAGTGCCGCATGCCCCAATGGCATTTACTAGCTACCCATGTTAGGTAAGAGTTGCTGTGAATTTTTGTGAGTTTGCTTAGATTGAGTGATTCTTAGGCATTGAATATGCAAAATTCACCTTCCAAATATATTTTTCTTTTATTTTATAAATGTTATGCAAACTCTTCAGCCTTTGAGGGTCAGACTGATTAAAACAAAATAGCTATTTGCATTATTTCCCCCAAGCTCCAAAAGCTCAACATACTTCTTCCACTACAATTCCTTTACTTTTTGGAAAAGTACTTTGAAGATATTCAACCAGAAACACTCCATGTGCAGTTTGTGGGGCAGCTGTAATCTGTGAAGCCTTGACTGGAGTTTATGAAATCACAGCTGTCCCAGTCTTACCAGGTGATACTGCAGCAACATAAGGTATTTTTTATTATGCTTCAGTTGTCCAGTGTTGCCGCCAGCATACCAAACTGGGATTGCAGGGCCTTAGTCCTCCATTGGCTCAAGACAGTGAGATACTGCTGTGGTGATGTTCTCAAGAGCATTATTCACACCATGAGGATGGAGGTGCAGTTGTTTTACAACCTCGGTGTGACATCTTACCTATTGAGTAGGCCCTTTGGCAAAAACTGGGGGAATATTGACATTAATATGTGTGCAGACCTATGCTAAAGGAATTCCTGGCTCAGGAGGCCTGTCATGTCTATCAGATTGCTTTCTCTGATGTTCAAATATTTGATTTTTGTGAGAAGGGCGTAGGAACTTGAAAACGAATTTTGTTAATTTTGCTGTTTCACAGGGAGCTGTTACCTTCTATCCAGATTTTTCAGATTTTCCCTGAGTGCTAAAGAGTTTTAAAGTTTTAAAGATAGCTCCACTACTGCTTGGTTTAGAGAAAAACTCTGTATTGTAGGGAAGGATTGTTTTTAATGCAGCTGGTATAAAACAGTGTCAGGTAAAAGAAAAAAAAAAAAGGCCTTTTTCTGAAGAAAGCACACAGAGTTGTAGTACGTGAAGGTCTTGGAAGTCTTGTTCTATTGCTCAGCCAATTAAGCAATTAATGGTGAAATTCCGGGCACTCGGTGTCTTTGCTAAGTAAGCAGTTTTCTGAAGCTGTTTTTGTGTTAGCACAGCTTTAGAGCTCAGCAATGTATTGGAGCTTCAAGGGAGATATCATGAGGAATTTATAATTAACTTTGAAAGCCAAGTTGCCTTGCCCTTATGGTGCTCACATAGGGAGTTTGGATGGAAAAGCTATAGTGTTATAAATTCACACTTTTCTTACTCTATGATAATTCTCCCCTATATGTGAACCCTCCGTGTCGAGGATATGTTGTTTCCTGCTCCATATAGTAGGCAGAATAAACATCTAGATTTCTGAGTTCTTTTCTTAATGTTTCTATTTGCTCAGTATGACTTTTGGGAAATCACTTTTGCATCAGTTTGTCTCATTTGCTATAATACATCTAGGAGTAATATAATAATCAGTATCTATTCTCTGTCTACATTATGGAGGTATTAGAAGAAGCAATTATCTTGTGTAGTGCTTTGAGCTCTTGAGATAATACTTTGTTATATCATCACAAGTTTAGAATTATGAATCTAATGTATATTTTCTTTCTCATTTTTCAGATTTTCAACTTGCCCATGGCTCTTTTCATTCCCCCGTCAGTGTTTGCTGTTCATCTGCAGTTTAATCTACTCTACCAGTTTTGGATACATACAGAGGTAAACCAGGTTTTTAAGCCATACCTAAACAGTTAGCCTGGAGCAGTGTCCTGGAAATCTACTAGCAGCTGATTTATTGTGTAAGAAAAATCTTTGTCTGACTTCTTTAAGGAGAAACATCTGTTCATTTTTATTCCTTTTTCTGAATATATATTGCTAAGTTTATAAGAAGCAATGAGGCCAGTTGGTCCCAATTATATTTAAAAAAAAAAAGAGCAACTGTAAGGAATCAAAACTTTTTGCTATTTTAATACTATATTTTCCTATCTTGCAGCTTATTAAATGTTTCTGGCAGATACTGAAACTGATTTCATTTCTAAGATAAATATTTTAGGGAAAAATATCCAAAACCCAGCCCTTCTTAAAGATCATTTAGAGTTTCAACTGAAGTCAGATATTGTTTCCTTCTTTGTGCAAGTAATTCTCAGATGACAAATGCTCTTTGATTATCTGATAGCTATTTGTTTATGAGTGCACCTATTTATTTGTTTTGAGAGTGCATAGACCATCCAGTTTACATATATATACAGTTAATAACTTGCTGTAATTAGTATGTAATTTCTTCCACTTCTCAGGTAGCTGAATGGCCTTCTGCTTCTTTGCATACGGTAGAGGTGCTTAAAGGTATCCCATGTTATAAGGCTGTAGCATATTTCTTAGTAGCCCATAGTGGGCTGTGGGCTAATTATCTCTACAAGACTTACTCCTTTTGATTATTCTGACTATACATATGCCTTTTTTCCTCTGTAATTTCCTTATGTGATCTATAGGAATTTTTTTTTAAGGCTATTTTTTTTTCCGGCTATTTTAAGCTATTGTGTTGCTCAAATTGCTTTCTCTTTTCTGTGCATTTCCTGGGGGGTAGGAATTGTAAGGCAAAAATCTACTTAGAGTGACCCAATAGAAAACTCCTGGTTTTGAAATTTTACTTCTCCTGGGCACATTTCTGAAATCATTAATACATATCTGATGCTCTACAACACCTCATGAACAGGAAAGGCTTACAATAAAATGTCACACAAATCACCAAAACTGGCATAAACTCAAGGAATGCATAATTAAACTTGTCAAAATTGTTTTGAACAAATTTGAACACTTTGAAATTACACCAAATGAATACTCTGAATCACATGCTAGCAGGTGCTTTGCTGATGCCTTAGGTTCCCCAATCTGGCTTTACTGTGTTTTTGCCACTAAGAGAAGTACAATATGCCTCATCTACCTCTTCTTTGCTCTCTGAAGCCTTTTCTTCCTTGGCTGAGAGGGTTCTAATGTTCTGGTACGTAGCACTAACTTAATGAGTCTCGACACTGGTGCCACAGTGTGCGTCTAAAATTTCTAAAGTGAATTTCAGAGGCTTATGAATTGCCTACATCCCTCTAAAGTGCTAAATCCTTCACAGGGCTTAAAAGGAATTTCCATAGCATATGTGCAATCTGCCAAGTTTATAGACTAGTCTAAACAAGAATGAATTTCAGTCTCAATGAAAAGATAAGCACTCCTTACTATTAAATTATTGTGCCTGTAGAAAAACAATGGATCTTTTGTACTGATCCAGTTGATCCAGTCATAGATCTTTGTTTACAAGGGAAGTTATTCTTAATTTTGCTATTGTTGATTTTATAACACAGCTGAAATCAGTTGAAATATGTTGAAGTTATGCTTTAAGCTCAAAAACCATGTCAAAATAGAAATAGGGTTACACCATGTATTAGCAGATTTCCTGCTCTCAAGGGCAAGAGCATAACAGAAAAGAGAAGGAAAGGAAATAGTTGTAGCTATTGCAGCCATGCAGGTTTATAGTGGCCAGTATTTTTGTTGAAATTAATAGGATGCTTCACCATTATGCTAGCTTTTGTTGTTTTTTTTGTTTGTTTGTTTGTTTGTTTTTTTGTTTTGTTTTGTTGTTTTGTTTTTTCTTTTTTTTACAACTATTACAATGTAATAAGCTCTGGCATCTCTATTTTTTTTTTTTTTTCTATCAGCCGTTTTCCTGAATTTAAATAATTCTAATTGTCTTACAGTGATTATGGTAAAATGGAAATCCTTTCTGTAAGTCTCTGTTTCCTGACATGAGAGGTCTGTTTAGGGCTGCAGGTCTGGTGTTGTATAGAAAACCTAGCTAGCAGCTAGACTGCTGCTAGCCCTCGCTCTGAGAGCTGAGATTCATCATCCCCCAACAGCTCTGGGGTCCTCTGGGAGCCCATGGTGGCTGCTGTTGCTACGTGACAGTACCTGTCATTAGGGGTCTAGTGTAGATATGCTTCATTATATCTATTCTGCCAGTGAGAGTTGTAATAGTTTGCGTCTAAAATGCAGGAGCATTTGGTAAGAAATGTTAATTTTGTCCTCAGATTTCTATTGCTTTTAATCAGTGTCAGTGTTTCCTTACACAAGATTTGGCCCCATATTGATTGATCAAATATGATTGGAAATTGTAACTTCACAACTTGTGATTATACATCTTTTTTCCTTTAGAAAAAGAAAGTCTAGTAAGATACGGGAAAAAAAAATCTATTTAATAGGTAAATTTTTGACATAGCACTGAAAATCTTAATAAAGGATATGCAAAATTATTGCTTTTGAAAAAAATCAACAAAACACCACCACAATATTTAAGTAATAAGAAAGAATGAAAGCTTATGAGGGAAGATGTTTAGTTTTGGGACTAATTTAAATTGAATTTTGTAATTACAAGAGAATGATTATGCTGTGCTGAAACTTTCTATGCCATGTTTCAGCCTGGCACAAAAGTTCATAGCCCTGATAGTTTCCTTTAATTTTGAATGTATCCATTGTTTCATACAATACTAAGAGAAGTTGCATATGTTATAACTTTGATTTCTCCAATATTTGTTACATTAGTTTTCGTCCAGCTTTTCTACCAGCAAATCGGATATGGTTTATTTTATTTTAACTCAAGTGGCTCGTATATTACTCTGAAGAGGGTATACCAAATCATAAAGATCAAAAGTACTCATTCTATCTCAGTTAGATTTCTTTATTTCCTGAATACTTGGTATGCATTAGCTTTTGGCCTTTAATGTAAAATAGTACAGCATTTAAAATACCATAAATCTTACATAGAGATTATACTATACCATTATCTTGGTGCTAGAGATCTTTTATTACTACCAAAATCAGAATGGGCTATTGATAAAGGAAAGGCATTTCTGTAATTATTAAAGAAGGGTTCGGTGTTCTAGAGTAAAAACATGACTTTGTGACTTAAGTTATTCATTTGCACTTAACTATATTCTCCATTAAAAGAACTTTTGCTGTCTGAAACCCGCTTTTTTTTTTCATTGTTCTGTGCATTATTGCACTGTGTACATGGCAATCTGAAATTATATCAGATATTTCCCAAAGATCTTTTAAAAATCTTTAAGTAGCAACAAGGTATTGAAATAAATTCATATTTATTTAAATGATAAGCAAACCAAAACAAACACAAAACAAACAAACAAAAAATACCCCCACACTAACAAAACAACAAAAAATAAAAACCTAAAACAAGTGAAGAAAACACTTAACATTTTTCTGTAATGGTGCATAAAGATAGGAGGTATCTAAAAGATGTGTAGATATGGCACATGGGGACATGGTTTAGTGGTGAACTTGGTAGTATTAGGTTTATGGTTGAACTCCATGATCTTAAGGATCTTTTCCAACCTAAATGATTCTGTGATTCTATGATCTCAATAAATCAAGAGAAAATAATTTTTAGTCCTATCCAGTACTGTTTAGGTCAATGGAATGAGTCAGTAGATCTGATCTTAAATGGTCTGGGAGAAATGTTTCTACAACTAGACCATTCTCATCTAGATCATGAGGGGAGTAAAAAAAAAATAATAAAATACTTTGGTCAAAGAGCACTAAAAGTCGAATTTTTCAAAAGCCACAAAATGTTTCAGGACTTACTGACAGACAGAAATACTCCATTTCAGTTTATTTTCACAGGTGATTCAGAAGTTCTATGGCTCATATTAAACTATATCCTTCCATTATGCATTTATTACAACCAATAAGTTAGGTGTGTTTATAACCTGATAGACACCTGTGAAAAACAGAAATTAGTTTATGTTGGTTTAGCTGTAATTTTTATGAGATGTCAAAATGTATTTGGAAAGTATCAACTGAATCAAACCCTGATGGTGGTAATTGCAGCAGCAGATTATTCCTTGCCTGTTTGATCTTTGACATGCATTAGTTTCTGTTTAATTTTCTAATTCAAGGAAAGACTGTAATCTGCCCTTTACCATACTCAAGGAAGTCAGGTTTTTTAAAGCATCTCTTTTTCTCTTGTTTAAGTCTGTCTACCTCATCAAACTCTGGGAGCAGAAAAAGGTGAACCACTGCTATTAAGCAGAAGTAGCATGGGTGAAAACACGCAAGGAATGAGAAAAATTCTGGCAACACCTCATGCAGACTGGAGAAGAAGATGTGAAATTGCTACAGGTACAAGCCAAAATACATTTATTTTTATCAGAAATCACCAGCTAAGTAAAACTGAAACTTGCTGTGGAAGTATATTTTATTTGTCAAAAAATATTTTGTCCTTATGTGAAGTGTGTACTAGTCTTAAGTTTCTTTCTATGACTTGCTTTGGCTTTGACTTCTGCTCAGTTTTCTTTAATGAAAATCTTTTAAAGAGAGAGGAATTGTGGAGGCTTCATGCTTTCATGGAAAGGAATTCCATTCCTGGCAGGAATCCATGCACAGCCCATCAAGGCTCCCTGAGTACAGGTGAGATGTTGTGGCCCAATCCTGAAGTCATTACATCAACCAGCTCTTACCTAGGAAGATGGCCAAATTCAGAAAAAGTCTTCTATGGGTTTTTTGGGTTTTTTGGGGGGTTTTGGTTGTGTTTTTTTTTCCAAAATATGAGAATAAGGTCAATAAGAAAATTGAACAAGCAGACTGAAGAACCACGTAAATTTAAGTAAAAGAAATAAAAAATTATGTATTTCTTGGAAGTAGCAGTATACAAGTAATTACTG